ACACACACACAAACACACACACTCACATACACACACAAATACTATGACAGGTGGTGTGGTGCAAACCCATGGATAGCCCCTACAACCCTGGCACTCACTTGTGTCTTTCATGTGCTTCTCCAGCCTCAGGGGCACTTCTCATGTGAAGGTGACTAGCTCATTCCTGGCCTTCAGCACACTTCATTACCACCACACAGAGCTTCAGCCTGCCCAACAACACATCAGAGAGACTGGGGAAGGTAGGAGGAGAGAGGAGAGGGATGTGAAAAGAAAAGAACTGACAAATGAGTAAGATGGAAACAAATGAAGAGGAGAAAGATGGAGACAGGATGTGAGGGGGTGAAGATGACAGAGCAGTGTAGGTAGGCACTGAAAGAGCATTTGGTTAATAGAGAGAGTGGGGGATGGTGAGACAGTTTGATGGAGAGGGAGGGACAGAGATAAAAAGTGAGTTTTCTGTTTTTGTTTGAAGCTGCGTTGTAGTAACACTAATAAAGTATAGAAAATTCCACTAACACCTACAACCTACAAACAAGAAGTGAAACTGGAAAGCAAAAAGTGTGTGCCTCACAGATTCACTAAAGGTTTTCATACCTAGTCAACAAAACAGGTTGTTAGTGCCTTCCAAAATGACCCACATGAGCGTTTTCAGACTGGCCTTGATGGTGGAAACTACACTATCTATATCCTGTCAGCCTAGAGGGTCTAGTGAGACTCAGAACAAACTGACTCCATAAACCGCTCCACTCCTGCAGGAGGGGAGAGGCTGTTACTGCAGCCGATTTGCATTGTGAGTAATGAAGGCACCAGGTCTTGACAAGGAAGAAGAAGCAGCTTTATTTTATTGTCATTGTGACACATACAATGAAATTTTGTTTGGAGCAGAGGGCCCCGGGCCGTTGCATGCATACACGCCACCATCACGGGCAACTTGGGGGGTTCAGTGTCTTGCCCAAGGACACTCTGACATGTGGGCACCGAGATTCGAACCTTCAAGCTTCCGGTTAGGAGACACTACTCTACCCACCGCACCAAAAATAATTTCCTTTCTTGAATTTCCTGGGTGGCATGGTGGGGCAGTGGTTAGCACTGTTGCCTCACAGCAAGAAGGTTACGGGTTTGAACACTGGCCTTTCTGCATGGAGTTTGCACGTTATCCCTGTGGTTGCATGGGTTCTCTCTGGTTTCTCCGGCTTCCTCATATAGTCCAAAGACATGCTGCTTAGGTTCACTGGTGACTCTAAAATTGCCCCTAGGAGTCCCTTGGCAGCACCATTGCTAAGTACAGCCAATCACGTCTCATAGATTTTCACTTTTCACAAATTGTACAATGTAGAAAAAATTTGACAGGCAGAAGACCTGAGTAAACAACTCATGTTTACCTAGAGCCATCAATCTGAGTGCACCTGGGTCGGCTTTCAAAACCATTAAACCTGTGTACCTGTGGTCCAACTGAGTTACCTGCGTTGTCCCCAGTGCACATTTTACCTGGATGAGGGAGCAATGTAAAACCATAGAAACAAAACGGACAAAAACTCTCCTGGCTGGGTTAATTGAGTATAATTACTCTGCAGCCTCACCCTTCTCCATTCTGTTGTTTTTCCTCTCACTTTTTCAGTCCTGCCTTCATTGCCACTGAGAAACGAGGCAATGCCCATTGCCCATCTTTTACTGTGGCAGATCTCAGCATATGGAAAAGAGTTGAAATGTTTAAAACTTGCCTAATGTACTGTATGGCTCACTATTTGTTATGGGCTCAGGGATTGTTTAATCATCTCAAATGTGCAAGATTCCTTTCCTGATATTTATAAGCATGCGCATATTGTGTTAAATGAATCAAAAGACAAATTGTACATTCAAAATTGAGGAATACAGGTGTGGCAGCTCCTCTCTCTTTATGCTTTTCTGACTTTCCTCCAGTCTGTGGCTCCTTCTCCCAAACCCATTGGTTCCTACTGAAGATGCAGCTCACTGGTCAAAATTTTTTGATG